TAAATCAAATGGCCATGTATTTATAGGGAAAAAATGAAGGGAAAAAAAAAGAAAAAGAAAAAAAAATTCAATGATCGTTGTTACTTAACTTCAACAGTGATCGAAATGGCCACTGAACAAATTTAGGTGAGCTATTAATGAGCCCACGAGCCGAGCTCATGGCTTGCCCACAAGCCGTTCGTATAAGAACGAGCGCTCGGGTTCAGGCTCATCAAAAGCGACTCACGGTCGAGGCCGCACGGCTCGATTGCCACCTCTAACTGAACCTCCTTTAATATTTTTATCATAATTTTTTCTTCCAATATTCGATTGAGATGATTCAAATTGGATTGTAAAGATAACTCAAAGAGTTACAATTTTACTGAATTAGCTCTTTTCCAATTCGAATGTTTACTGGGCAAAAAATGGTCTCAATCTCCAGCTGAAAATCTGGAACATCCTTATACGGTTGAAAATTGATTTGTGAAAATATTGTTGTCATATTTCACTCATTTTGACTTCTTATTGCATCCAATTGACCCTCAAAATTCTTGAATTTTCATTGTGAGTTTCGACACAACTTTTGAGTATTTACACTTTAGTCTCCAAACTTTGGATCTTGTCCATTTTTCGTCAAAGTTCACTTATTTCTTTTAATTTCAATTCTTTTCATCGAGTTTGACATAATAAACGAAATATATAATAAATTAGGTTATGATTGTTCAAAATAACTACTAAATATCTATATTTTTAGGTTCAAATAAGTGTATATAAAATACACTTATCAATAGTGAAAGAATCGACTTCAACCAAGGACGGACCCCACTTGGGGTCATGTGGGGTCAATTGACCCCACAAAAATTTCTGGGTTTTTTTTTTTTAAATTTTATAATCCAAAACATTGTTTTATAGAGAGAAGAAACACCCATTTGCACAAGTCCAAGCTCAATTTCTCTTTGGATTGCCCTAAATTCCCCAAAATAACAGAGAGAAGAAACACTAAAATTGATTTAGCCCTCCCTCCTCCCTGTCTCCCCACACTTGCAACAAAATCCCCAAGGTTTGGCTTGCAAGGTATCACTCTCTTTTGTCCAAGCACTACCCATTGCAATGAAAATTAAACCGGCAAGCAGATAGTACTTGTAAAACTAGGCAACTTTTGGTCTCCATTCTCGTAGTGACACAATAACAGGCAACTTCAAATATTTTTGTTTCATTTTTCTCTGGCATGTGCAAGGAAATCATCGCATTTTTCCCAGCTACTATTTACCACGAACTTAAATCACCGCATTGCTATTATTGTTAAAGCTAGTTAAGCTTATTTAATGCAATTATGTTATAAGTCAGTATTTCTCCCTTCTTATGGAACTGGGGCTTTTGAATGAGGTTCGATTACTGATTTTGGGTAAGCTTCAATTCTTGTAGGCCAGAAGCACTTCATCAAAGAATAGGAAAAAGAAAAGGAAAAGGAAAGAGTAGCTTTAGAAGTTGTAAAAATTGAGGCAAATTTACAAGTTAGACATCATTCTTAATTTCAAGTAAGTAATGGCTTTCTCTAACTTGATGATCTAGAAATGTTAATGAAATTTATTGTTGTCTGTTATGATTTATGTGTGTAAGTTTGTCTTTCGATGAAAAATGAAAAATGATATTTATTTATTTATGTATTGAATTTGATTTTGTAATAGTCATGGAGAAATATTTTAAACGAAAATCCGTATTTTCGAGTGGAGAGCAAAATGTAGTTGAATCGAGTGTTCAAGATGAAATAGATGGCCGAGAAGAATCAAATATTGGGGATAAAAGAGACGTTAATGATAAAATAGATTTAGCACAACTTCCTTCGGATCCCGAATTAAGAACTCCAATTGTGAATTATAATGTTAATGTCCGGGATGAAATTCAAAGAGCATATGCGCAAAGGGGTCCATGTCAGCCTCGAAATCACATGTATCCACAGAAAGAATTTGGAGATTCGTCATTAAGGCAATTTAAACCTTCTTGATTTAATGACCTTCCTGATTGGTTGGAATATAGTATAGCAAAATATGCTCTATTTTGCTTTTATTGTTATCTTTTCAAACCAAATAATGAAGAACATGGTAGTGGTGATTCTTTTGTTGATGGAGGGTTCTCAAATTGGAAAAAAAAGGAAGGCTTCAAACTCGTGTTAGGAAAAATGGTAGTGCACACAATCAAGCGCGGATTAAGTGTGAGTCTTCTGTGAATCAGAAACAAAATATTGATTGCGTTCTCTTTAAAAAGTCGAAAACAACAAAAGATGAGTACCAGATTCGTCTGAATGCGTCAATTGATTGTGTTCGATTGCTTCTACGGTAAGAGCTTCCATTTCGTGGAAATGACGAATCTGAAGATTCAAGAAATCAAGGGAATTTTCTAGAAGTGTTGAAGTGGTTATGTGATCATAATAATGAGATTAATGATGTTTCTTTGAAGAATGCTCCTGAAAATCTTCAACTCATATCACCTAGTATTCAAAAGGATATTGTGAGTGCTATTACATTTGAAACACTTGATGTTATTATGAAAGATATAGGTGATGGGTTGTTTTCTATACTTGTTGATGAGTCTCGTGATGTTTCAGTAAAGAAGCAGGTGTCAATTGTTTTACGTTATGTGAATAAGAAAGGACAAGTAATGGAACGTTTTATCGGTGTTGAACACGTGTCTAGTACCATAGCTCTCTCACTTAAAGATGCTATTGATCACTTATTCTCTAGATTTAACTTAAGTATATCTAGTTTAAGAGGTCAAGGCTATGAGGGGGGGAGTAATATTCGAGGTGAGTATAATGGTCTTAAAGCACTTATTTTGAAAGATAATCCAAGTGCTTTCTATATTCATTGTTTTGCTCATCAGCTGCAACTAGCTCTGGTAGTTGTGCAAACAAGCATGCAGATATTGAAACATTCTTTACTTTAGTGAATAAAGTGGTGAATATTGTTGGAGGATCGGCTAAGCGGTGCGACCTTCTTCGAGAGAAGAAGAGGCTTGAAGTTGTTGAATCATTGAATTTTGGTGAAATCTCAAGTGGAAAGGGCCTCAATCAAGAAACTACTCTTACGCGACCCGGTAATACTCGTTGGGGCTCTCACTATAGTTCTTTACTTAGCTTGATTCTCATGTTTTATGCTACAGTTGATGTCATTGAGATGATTGCTACTGATGATACTAGTGGTGGAAAGAAAGGCGAAGCGCGTATTTTGTTGGGATTTATGTTGACATTTGATTTTGTATTCAGTCTGCATCTCATGAAAAAGGTACTGGGTATTTCAGATGAATTGTCAAAATCATTACAAAGGAGATCAAGACATTGTTAATGCTATGAAATTAGTGAAAATATGTAAAGAACGACTCCAAACAACGAGGGACAATGAATGAGACTCATTTTTAAGAACAGTTTCTTGTTTTTGGAAAGGTACAACATTGATATTCCCAACACGGATGATATTTTTATACCTCTAGGCCGTTCACGGCGTAAAACACAAGGAACGACAAATTTGCATCACTTTCGTGTTGATTTCTTCTATGNTTTCTTCTTTCGACAAGGACAAGTTAATTCAATTGTGCGAGTATTATCCCAACGATTTTAAACCAATAGCGATCTTGATACTTGAAAAGCAAATTCAAACATATATTATTGATATGCGCACTCACAAAGATTTTGAAGGGTTACGGGGCCTTAATGATCTTGCGGAAAAGTTAGTTATGACAAAAAAAAAGAGGTGTACCCATTAGTTTTCAGGCTTGTAACATTGACGTTGATTCTTCCAGTTACTACTGCTACGGTAGAGAGAGTATTTTCTGCAATGAAGATTGTCAAGAATCGACTGCGTAATCGAATGGGAGATCAATAGTTAAGTGATAGTTTGGTTGCATATATCGAGAATGATGTATTCGACCATATTAATAATGATGTAATTATACAACGTTTTCAGAGTATGAAAACACGTAGGCTGCAGTTATAGTAGTGTATTGACTTATCTTTATTAATGATATGTTGTTTTAAAAAAATGTATTTCAAATTTTGACCCCACAATGCCAAATGTCTGGCTCCGTCCCTGACTTCAACTACGCGTACAAATGCTTATTACGGGTTGTTAATGTTTCAAATGAGTGAATGTGATTATTCGTAAGTACTTGTTGATTTCAATGTGCCATCCTATAGTTCCTACAGGTAAAGAGATACAGGGCTGGGAAGAAAAAGTTTGAGCTTGATGGAAATCTCTTAACTATCCCACGAACAATGCAATTAGCAGTACATTGATACGAAGGATTAGAACAACAGAATTTACCTCGAATTCATCTAACGTTAATTGACGTAAACTGAAGTAGATAGAAAAAACGTGCAATTTAAGACTTCATATGTACGTTTAACTCCATTGGCCACCAATGACGGAAAGCTTGATGTAACAAAACAAATATCAAAATGACTGTGCAGTGCCTGTGTGCGTGTCCCCCAATTGAAATTTGTAAACTGGGCCATGATTGTGCAAGTTGAGGTCTAATTATAGAGATGATTAGACACTGAAGTTTCTCTCTCTCTCTCCTCGCCGTCGTGCCCACAATTCTAGTCATCAGAAACAGTGGAGAGCCACGAAATACCTAACTCAATATCAAATCTTATCACTTTCTCAACTTAAAAAACAGCCACTTGCACCAAACACGAGCAATGGTAGGCCCCTTGCTGTCCCCCACCCTCCACCACCCCACTTGGATCCACTCCACCGCCCAACCCCGCCACCTCCGCCACGAAAAACACACTGTCTCCTCAATAATCAAAAGTCTTTCAAAGCACGACCGGCTCGCGTTCGATCAAATTGCCAATTTGGATCAAATAAACAAGATAAAATTAAGAAAAGCTAAATATAAACAAGATAAAATCAAACAAAACTAGGATTTGGGGGTTCATTTTTTTTACCAGTACAAACCCAAGATACAAACAACAAAAGATAAAAATAAAAATAAAAATATTTCCAGTTGATTTTTTATCGCGTTCTTCACCGATAATCAACATCTGAATCTTCGGGCTCAGGCTTCTTGTTCAGGTCAACAATCTCTTGAAACCAAGAAGGTTTGAGGGATTTGTTTGCGTGCTCCTCTTCTCCAAATTCACCAGCCGCAGAGAAACTGTTAGTATGGAGTGCATCAACTCGGGCGCCGACTTCCGCCGCCTTTGCCCGTATAGCTGCTGCGGAGAGGTCTTTGGGCCCTGCGACAGAGATTTCATCAGGGAAGTTGAGTCTGGCGGTGGGGCCACGGAGGTAGTACACCGCCGTGTCATAGGCTCTGGCCGCCGCCTCAGCTGTGGAGTAAGATCCCAGCCAGATTCTTGATCTTTTATTAGGCTCTCTAATTTCCGCCACCCACTTCCCCCACTTGCGCATCCTTATGCCTTTGTACGGCTTCTGGCTCCTCCTCCTAGTCCCCGCCGCCGCCCTTACACGGCGGTTTCGCACAGCACCAGCATCAACAGCAGCACCACAACCCTCCATTTCTCTCCTCTCTCTCTCTCTCTCTAAATCACTCTGCAAATAAATTATAATAAGAGGTGGATTCTGTATACTTGAATAAACAGGACGGAGTATTCAAGAAACGACAGAGAGAGAAATGAGAAGCATGCTCAAGGCAGTGCGGTATATCAATTGTGGCGTCGCTTCAAAAAACAGCCTGCGCCTTAAGGTTCTTGTCATCTGGGTTTGCAGTTACGTTTTTATTCTCGAAAACAAATTTGTGCCGAAATCAAACACCGACAAAATCACTCACTATCTATATATATTTATAACGTCATCTTCCTCTTTTCTCTTCTTATTTATCCCAATAATAGAGAGAGAGAGGGAAGAAAAGGGGGTCGGCGTTACCTCGCTATAAATTGGCGATAACTTGCAGTCGCGTGTCCTTTTATCCTTGGAATGCCTTGATGAAAAGTTGTATGTTTGGATAGTGGGTCCCTCTTGAGTTTCGATTCCGAAGTACTAGAAATTTTTCGCTTTGTAAATTGGCGACTTGTTGAAAATGATAAATATTAAGGGTGTGTTTGAGTTACATTATTTTGAAATAGTAGATTGATGGAGAATGTGTGATTGAAAAAGAATGAAGAGTTATTGATGTGATGAAAATTATTATTTTATTGAAGAATGAGTGGTTGAAAATGAGTAGAAGAATGTGAATGAAAATTTTAATATAGCTCAAACGAGGACTAAAATTCAACTATTCATTTGAATTTTAGATAAATCATATACTTCTTTCGGATTTTTAAATTTTTGGTAAGAGTTTCAATGCTAAGAATCCATTCTAAATCTCAACCTTTCTAATAAACTATCGTCGGCCTATCGAATTCTAACTCGTTCATTATGTGCTTGAACCTCTCAAAAGGAGGCTTTTTTTGCCTTGCACTTAAGTTGGGCAGGAAATCTCAAGAAGAGTAAAAGTTTTGTATTGATTTTTTATAATTATGTTATATGAAATTTTACCTTAAAAGGAAATAGTGAAAATTTTGGAAATTTTAAATCGCTGAAGTAGTTGTCAAGTCTAAGATGATAACGAGGGTGAAATTGATTAAATTTTTTAATTAATGTGAAGAAAGTGATTATTATTAATAATTGTTGGTATTGGTTCTTTATTTCTATTATTTGGTGATATGAAAATGAAGGATTTGGTCGGTGGGGGATAGAAACCGTTGTGACTTGACTTTGCGTCTCCTTCAGGCTTCCACCTTTAACCATTTTATTGATTAAAACAAAATTGATTAATTGTTTGAGTTGAGCTTAGAGGACAACTGTCATACCTCGCCACCAAGGCTCCCACGTGAAGTTGAAGCCTGCGTGGCATTTCACGTGGAGTGCAAATAGACTTATCGAAGCCCTCTAATTGAAGTGATGGTGTGCAAATGGACCTACCGAAGCGGTGGTGTGCAAATGGACCTACTAAAACCCTCTTGCCGACCGAAGCTCTAGCCGAAGTAGTGCTGCTCAAAGAGGCTAAATCTGAAGCTCTAACAGACAAATGGCGATCCACCTCCTTTGAAGATCTCTTATTAATAAAATCATGTTCAAATGTTTGATGTGATTCCTGTAATGAGTAATATGTCGAAATCTTGTCAGGATAGATTTGTAGGATGATTGTCCCTTTTTAAGAGTATAAAAAGCACCACAGGTCAGTAGGGTCAAATTGATACTTAAAATAAGATGATTCGGTTGAGCAAATGAGGTCATATGTCCCCTTATCCAATAGACACCATTTCATATCTAACACTATAAATATCCCTTATAGTATCATTTGGGGTAATACAAATACATATATTTTAAGCCATTATCATCTCCTCTTGAGTTGAATATTTTATTGGTATAGTTATATTGATCTTAGCTTTTAGTTTGTATATTATAGATTGTTCCTTATCATGCGATCCCGCTTACACATATTGTCAGTGTCCAACCATTTTTGTTTCGCGTTATAAAGCTTATCCACCGTCCAAACCCAAAACACCGTCGACTAGTAATCTGTCCAAACGTGTTGGAATTAGCTTGCGTGGATGCGAATGGACTCTGTATTTGTTGTCCATGTCAACGATACAAAAAACGAGATCAACAACAACAACAACAACCATACATTTCAACTACTTATTTTTCAATTTTTTTTTTTTTTTGGGTTAAGCGAATTATAATGGAATAAACTATCTACGACGTACAAAATCGATGACAAAATTTCTTAAGCTGTCCAAATTCGGGCTTCTTTCATTAATTGTCCTATAGTGTAGTGTACCGACTCTAGAGAAATAAAAATTAGATGAAAGATTTGTTGCCACTTTTTTCTTGCTAGTGTTGACACTAATTCAACTATCGAGTTGAATAAGCTGGACGCGTGTTTAAAAAAATTATTATCTTGACACAAAGTAAATTATGGACATGACATCCTTCCTTTACTAATAAATAAATGGGTTAATATAAAAATATCTAATCAATGTTATTTATATAAATTTCTAATAAGTTTATGAACCAAAAAAAATAATAATAATAATAAAAAAAGTGATTAAAGCGAGTTAATAAAATTGAAATGTGATTTTTAGTACATAATAATAAAATTGTCGTTACACTTTTCATAAAGTTTTTTAACTTTTAATCAGACATTTACGCAGCATATTTTGGCTTTTTAATATTCAAGACAATGAATATGTGGACCTATCAATTAATTGAGATGATCAGAGTTTAATTTTATGTAACTGAAATAGCTCGTTAAATTATACATAATCTATAAAGCCAAAAGGTCAAGAAGTGGGTGAAGAAAACAATGGCACAACAATAAATTTCAGTTCTGTAAATCCCTATCTTTCTCCTATTTTGACGAACTCGATGCTTCCAAGAAGAAATAAAAAATTTAAACGAGCCAATGACATTATGCCATGTGTCTATCTGTGAAGTAAGGTGTAAAAATTTTCAGTGCAAGTAGCACGATTGTTTTATGAACTCGATGCATGTGGCAGGTGCTTCTGCGTGTCCCTCAACCTTTCAGCAAGAAACAGCTAACCATTTTAAAGAAGTTCAATATTCTTATTGGGGGAATCAGTACTTCCAAGTAATAGAAACGTGATTAATGAGCTTTATGTGGATGGATAAGTGATGACCAATCCAATGGTATGGTAAGCAGAATTAACCAATCCAGGAATCTGAATGCTGCTAACACCTGCTGCTAGTGCCCAAGCGTGAAAAAACATGTGCAATGGTCTTAACTAGCTAGCTAGATTCTTCAAAGAGCCATGTGACCAGCAGCATAAAGTTAAGATAGGATAAAGAATGATAAAGTACTGTTATTTATAGAATAAGGGAGCTCCAATAAGAGACAATCTTAATACATATTGCACAGCTAACAATGAAGCACAAACTCTACCAGCATCACATCACTGATCTTCGAAAAAGTAGCAGATCGTTTCATCCTTTTTTTCTGAACCGCGTCTTTCGTCGTCTGATAGTTAAAATCATGTCCAGTCAACCCATAAAGCAAAACAAAAGCATAGCATAAAAAGAAATGGAAAGGCAGGTCATAATCTTAAGTGCTTTGACTGGGAACTAGATTTTGCAAGATCAATGTATTAGTTAGAAGTAGAATCCCTTTCAAGGTCAAACACAGGGCATCTCTTGATACTAAGAACATTCCATAACAAAGGTCATTCATCGTGCTGCTTAGTTAGTATACCCTCATAACATGTATTTAATTCATAAACATATTTCACGGTCTAGAGGAAGATAAGTGGACACATCTTCAAGAAGAATACTTAAAAGAGTTTTTGCATAGTGCTGTCGATTTTGAAGTAATCTTTGTGGATTCTGTATGAAAAATTCAAGACAGAATAAGTCACAATGTTCTATAGCGCCTGAAATCAGTCAAATGACTCAAAATATGATAGATCATAATATTCAATTTTTCCAAGTTTTCAAGAGAGAAAATTCAGTCTCTGATTCATTAGTAGTTGTGGTTTGTGTCACGCGCAAAAGTTTCCATGTTTTCCCCATTATGTTTGAGGTCTTTCGTCTTTGTTACGCTATCAGTGCTTTTAGATGAGGTAAGGAGTATGTTTTTGAGAATTTTAATATTATAATTTGAATTATTTTAAATCAGCTTCTAAAATAATAATATAAGACACGTCTTTGAGAATATGGAACTTTAGCTATCGTCCATAAATTAATATCAAGCAAAGCATAAGTTCTACAGAAAAAGTGGAGTTCATCAGTCTAACATTGAGAAGGAAGATAGTAGTAGTAGTAGTTTACTCAAAAATAAGAGACCAGAGCTAATGTAGAACAAATGGTTGAATGGATTGAAGAAGAATTAAACCGAAAAGAAAAATTGGCAAAAAGTGCAAGCATAGCAGTCGAGCTTCGATTTGGACCCATAATATCATTTCGGAAAGAGAATGACGAGACGAGTAAAACTCACCATTATGCTATAGCATACGATGAATTTTGGCCATTCAAGTTCGTTAAAAACTCAAAACTACTTTTTTTAAGTTTTAGTACTCGAAAACTGATTTTGGCCATCCGAGTTCTTTTAATGTACACAAAAAGAAAGCATCCAAAATGATAAATGAAACAGTGGTGTGTGGAATCGCACAAATTATATTATTACAATCATTCCTCGTTGTTTTCCACAAGTTTGAGAAACCCGTAGCAACTCAACTCAAATAGGAGTCTCGGTGCACAATGAAGGTTCAATTCTTCATAGAAGTTAAAACAATAACTTAAAATCGAAACAGCTCTATATTCAGACAAGTGGAGGGTACTGCTTGGCCTGCTGACGAACCCTCTTCTTGTATTCCACAACATCCTGCATATGTTTCAGAAAGAGTCAGTGAATGAATGATGATATTGTTATATATTTATACAATTAAACAAAAAATTCTGTTATATAGTCACTTTTAATATAATAGAAGAAACAAACAATTAAAAATATTTTATTAATTAAATATATTAAGTTCACAATTACGTGAGCGAATGTCGGCTAG